AAAATTGCATACAAACTAATTATTAAAGATAATAAAAAAAAAAAACAAAGTTTAAAGAAGAATGTGAAGAGATCCCCCAATTAGCTATATTGTTGGTTAAATTTATATGACGAAATCTTTTATCTTCGGCTTTCGTAGGTTTTTTTAGTTAAATTTTTTAAATCGAAATCTTCATCAAAGACGACTTGCAAAACACTTTTAGTATATGTATTAACTAGTACGTACCCAGTGCGATACACGGGACAAAAATATTAAATGTGTTATCTCATATGCTTTGTCCGTTTAAGTATATAAAGTAATAGGATTATCATCTATTTTAATCAGCTTTAAGTATAATAAACAATAAGGTTATAATATATTTTGCACCTCTTTTAATCAACGTTATTTTTTTAGTTAAAATATTAAAATAATTAATATATTATTTCACTAACACATTTTTCCTAATTTAAATTTGATTTTAATATATATATTTATTCCTTGATACAAGAGAGAATAACAATTTTACTTATTCTTGTTCACCATATAATACTAAATTATTATTTTATTATACACTTTATGTCATATAATGTCATTATTATTTATAAAGTTATAAAAGTTGTACGTCTTCTTTATATTTTTATTTTATGTAATGAAAAATATTTAATGCACGTTTCCATTATTTATTTATGTAATCAATTTAAAATATGTAAATAAATTTAATATTAAATAGTGTATAAATATTTTACAAAACATACACAAGTTTTTTTAGAATTTAATTTTATATACTAATTAAACAACTTTGATTTAGAAAATCCTAAAAACTCAATCCCCTATATGATCAAGATTTTTCTAGTTCGCATTATAAGGATTTATGGTTTATTTAGCATACTCAACAATGAAAATATATTTTACAAGTATTTAAATATAGAAATAAATCAAAATAAAAAAATAAAAAAAATAGTCATGGGTGCCAATAATATACAAATAAATGCTAAACAATAGTTAAATGTTTCAATCTTAATTTTTTACCATTAGTAAAACTATTTATTGTATCTGGTCATTATCTCTTAAATGGTAAATTATATTAATTTGAAGAACATGCAATTTATTTTTTATATTTAACAAAATAAAGCTTAAGAAACAAATATATTGACAAATATTAATTCACCAATTTGATTTTATCTGATTACTTGAAAAAAAAAATCTTGCTAATTTGTTACGATTTTTCATAAATATTTTTTAGATAAAAAGTGAATATTTGTGAAAAAAAAAAACTAATATTATGGTTAGAACTTAAAATATGGTGTAATATTATCTTGACCAAAATATTATCAACATGGATCATATAAATCAATCTTGTAATCCATTATAATGAATATCAATGAAATTATTACAAATATTAATAAAATAATATTTGTCTTGAACAAAATATTATCAACATGAATCACGAAAATAAATATTGTAATTTATTATAATAAATATAAATGATAATACTGCAGATAATAATAATTTATTTAAGTAATTATTTGATCTTATATGAGAACGTATAAATAAAAGCAATTAAAGCATATATAAAAAAATACCAAAAATAGCATGCATTAAGTGTTTCCTAAATTTTTGCTACTATTTTTAGTAAATGGTAATTCTTTTTATATATATATATAGATATAGATATAAGGCTTGAATTTTATACTTTTTCAATTGAAAGCTTACATTTTAGGTTATTCTCATTTTAAGACTTATTTTTTAGTTAACTTTTCATTATAAGACCCAACCAACTTTACTTTTTCATATAAATATGTAAAACAATTATTATTTGAATAAAAGTTTTATTATTATTATTATTATTATTATTATTATTATTATTATTATTATCTTACATACTCATAATAAAAAATAATAAATATTTTTAGAAAAATTATATTAATAAAAAATTAAACTATATAAATTACAAATGGGAAACTAAGATAGTAAAATTATATTAATAAAAAATGAAATTATATAAACATCTATTTTCAATGATGTAATTTTTCATTTTAAATTTTTTGCATAAATATAATTTATATAGTTTCATTTTTTATTAATATAATTTTTCTAAAAATATTTATTATTTTTATTATGAGTATGTAAAATATAAATAATAATAATAATAATAACAATAATAATAATAATAAAACTTTTATTCAAATAATAATTGTTTTACATATTTACTAGTGCGTATCCCGTGCGATGCACGGGTAAACAATATTAAATAAATAATTATAAATAAGTATTGAGTTCGAGTCACCCAATAAAAGAAGTGGAGAACCACTATTGATCTTCTCTTAAAAGAGCAAGAAAATATATTATAAATTAAAGATGAGGGTAAACGATATTAAATAATTATAAATTAACGATGTGTGGTTAACATGTCATATAATTTACGGTATATCAATTTATTATGAACTATTTAAAATTAGCTTGTTCAATAGAACATAAAATTTGTATATTTAAACAATTAAAAACTCCTAAAATATTGTATTAAAATATGTAAAATTATCTATAATTTTTTATATTATAATTAAAAGATGTGAAGTCACCTACAACTTTTCTACACTATTTTTTAAAGAAAATATCTAAAAATATTAAGTTTACATTTGTATGAAAGATGTTTTCTGAATATGACATGAGAAAATGTTATAAGCCTAAATAAATAGATTATAAAGTTTTTGAAAGAAAATTTACCTAGTATATTATAAAATAAATATTGATATGGTGCTGAAAGCTATGACGATACTACCGTAAAATTTGAGTATAGAAGATTTTAAAATTATTATTATTATTATTCTTTTGAGTAATTTGAGTATAAAATTTTTCAAAATTATTATTATTATTCTTTTAAATAATTTGAGTACAAAAGTTTCAAAAATATTATTATTTTTTAGTTACTGTGAAAAGAAATTTTGTAGACATAAACTTCCACAATTTATGTAGACTTATCAATTTTACAAATAAATGAGATTTACTTTATATTGAACGGAGACTAAGACAATTGTCTATGTAGATTTAACCAATATTTCTTCAAATCTTATGATACCATATCAATAAAAATAAAAATAAATTAAGTAGAAACAAAATAATTGATTGAAAAATTTTGAAAATTTTAATCAATAGATTTAGATCAATTATTGACTTCACATTAACTTTAATAAAAAATTACGTATGCATACCATTATTCGCACTAAATATTTACTAATAACTACCAAATTATTGCTATTGATTTTTTCGGAAATCAAATAGCTCATCTCGGTTTTTTTTTTATATATACAAAAAATATCTGAAAGAATCCATATAAATAGGGACTATTTCCAAACAAATAGGCATTTAGTTAAAACTTTTTTAATTATGTTATTTTTAGTATATAATTAATGATTTTGTTTCTAAATTTATAAAAAGGTTATTCTTTTTATAAAATGATAGATTACTCATGTATAAAAACAAAAAAAAAAAAAAAGAAGAAGAAGACAAATAATACAATGCTATAATTTTGGAAACATGTGTGAAATTTGTGAAGCTATAATTACGTTTGTTTGTTTTCCAAATCCATAATTTTAGGCTACATTTAATGATTGTCAATTTGTTGTTTAAAAAAATTCAAAATATTTCCAAAAATGGCATGCAATTAATGTTGTTGGATTTTCTACTTACTATTTTTAAAAAATGTTAATTCTTTATATATATATATAGATATGAAAAAGTAAAGTTAGTTGATCCTCATAATGAAAAGTTAACTAGAAAGTAAACTTTAAAGTGAGAATAATCTAAAATGTAAGCCTTCTTTTGAAAAAAGTATAAAATCCAGACCTTAAATTAATACATATACTAAAAGTTAGGTCTTCCAATGAAATTTCCCCCACACCATGAGTATATGTCACTTGACATTCACATCCTTATCCATTTAGTCAATTACAATTTATACTCTATTTAATTCATCTCATGTTCACACAATTATTCCACTAAATATCTTTATATTTAGGAGGAGGTATTCCTTTAAAAATTCTAAATACTTTAAAAGGTTTTTTAAGATTTGTAAAATCTGGGTGTATTTAAATGAGATTTTTTAAGACTTCAATAAGTCTTGAGGTACTTAATTAAGATTTTGGATGACTTATTAACAGTCTTTAAAAGTCTAGGGTATTCAATCTAGATTTTTTAAAGTCCTATAGAATCACAAGGTCTTCATTTTTTTTTAATTATATGAGATATGTCATTTGTTTGGATTTAGAGAGACTTGAGTAGGAAAGTATATATACCAACTTTCATTACAAATTCCACAGGTAGATAAGCGAATATTTTAGACTTTGAGACTACTCAGTGCAGAAAGGATTTACAGTGACTATTTCTCTTCCCCTACTTTGATTTTGAAACCATTTTTGCTCTTCTGTGAACATGCCAACATCTGTTCTTGGATTA